AGAAATATTTTTTTAAGACAGTCTCACTAATTCAGGGTGGCCTTGAACTCACTATGTAGTCCTGGCTGGCCTTGAATTTATGGAGCCCCTCCTGCTCAGCCTTCTGAGTGCTGGGATTATAGGTGTGCACCACTATGCTTGGCTGTTTTGGCTTTTTAGAAACATTTATTTTTCTTAGTGCATCTTTGTACCACATAACGATTACATTTGTCATGTGGAGTTGGTCCATGTACACAACACATCTCAGTTCTTCTGACATCTCCTTCCCTCCCACAAAAGCAAGAGCTCTGCACAAGCAGTAACTGAAGATGGAATTGTAGGAGAAATGACAATAGCAACATGATAGATACTTAAAAATAAATATGCCTCGCCTAGCCACACAGAGTAAGAGTCGGCTGGGTTGAGGGAAGAGGATGGAATGGAGATCATGGTGTAAGTGAGGCAGTGTCTCTATGGGAAAATTAGAGCTTTAAAAAGTTTCTCTACAGAGCACCTTTACTAGTTTTTACATAATGGTCACGTTCCTCATAAGGATCTTAGGAACTGCAAAAACCTCATGGGCCAAGTCTGAGAATCCTTGATGCATATCAACACTATGTGATCAAAATGTTTTTACTGTACAAAATATCCATGGACAAGGAAAAATACCCTAATTTAAAGAAAGAGGCTGAGGCAGGAGGATCGCTGCAAGTTCAACACCAGGCTGGGCTACCCAGTGAGTTCAAGGCTGTCCTGAACTGCACAGCAAGACCCTATCTCAAACAATTGACAAACAAGCAAAAAAAGGCAGATCACAATAGTATGGAAATTATCATAAAATTTAAGTAAAAAAATTCTAATATAAGTATGTAAAGGTAGAAATGCTTTTCTTTTTGGTTTTGTGCATTTTTTTTGTTTTGTAATCAGAAGGAAACATATTTAACAAACATAAACATATTGCCAATTTCCTATTTTTAGTTACCTGTATCTTCCTTCCCAGTCCTAAAAATATCAGCTTAGTAGCTGTGGAAAAGACATCACCGAAGCATAGCACAGTCTCGGCACTCCACTCCGGGCTGTGCTCTCGGGCTGAGCCTCACCTCGCACACCGCATGCGCCGAAGAGGCTTGGCTCCCTCGGACTGCGAGGCCGTGGGACGGACCTGCTTCCCAGCGTCAGCGGCACTGGCTGTTACATGGATCAGCTCCCCCAGACTTCCTGACGCAGAGCCTGCACAAGACCAGGCGATCCGGACACCGCGGTTTTGAGATCCTGGCAGCACCGAACAACGTGGGAGCCTAGACAGGGGCGGGGGACCCAGCAATGCTCACCAGGGACTGTCATTTGCATCCAGCACTGGAAAAACACTGTCCTTTTGCAAGGGCCTGGCTTCTCCATGAGACCAGGACCTCCAGCTCCCACCCCTGCAACAGGTGTGACCTTCCTGCCCGTCTTCTAAACCCCTCAGGCGGGGCGATCTGGACAACTGAGGCACTTGCTCAAGGTTCTGCGGCAGGGGAGCCCAGATCCAGGCCCTGGCCCGGTGCCCTCCGTATTTCCACTTGGGGAGTGCAAGCTCCCTCGGGCCTTCCTGTCACACCGCCCCGCTGAGGCTGTGCTGTCACACGGGGTGGGGGTCAGAACAGGCACGGGGGCACAAGCATCCGGACTACAGCAGTGGGTTCCATTGTGTCCTCCCAGGAGGCAGGAAAAATGTACGCTGTTGCCTGCAGGGGTGTGAGGGTGTCCGACTGCAGGTTTGCAGTTTCACTGACTTCTTGCCCTGAGGGGGGAGGTTTGACGCTGTTTATTTGCCTTCCACAAAATACAGCCACAGAAAGTTCTAGGCAACTTTCTGTAACATTTTCTAAAAACACTCCTGTGAAATAAGGCTTTTGTACCTACACTATCCAGTTTCACCAGAAATTCTACTTTTCAGGTCATCTTTCTGGTGAGGTAATCCTGATAACCTCGGTTCCCAGGTCCCTGGTCCAGCAGCATCCGGCGCCACCTGTCCCTGGGCACCTCCCCAGCCCTCCTGTTCCTAAGGATCTGCAACCCTCACAGTCTAAGACTCCCTGCCACCTGCACCTCCTCCTCCTCGACTCTTCCTGTCCCTTCAGAGACAAGTGCAGCTTGTGACGAAGTCTAAGTTCCCACCGCAGGCCCCCCAGTCAGGAGTGTCTCCTCTAAACGTGCGCTGCGAGCTCAGCATGGTGCCCGGAGTCAGTGGGCACCGTCACGTCCCAGGAGCCAAAAAGATGAGTTATTCGTGCTAGTAGCCAGTCTGCAGCTGGGAGCTGGGGAGCCAGCGGGCTGATTATTCAGATTAGATTACGAAAAGCACCAATCGTGGGAACACAGCAATTTTACTTACCCAACTCTGACACTAGAATCTAGCAAGGTGCACTTCTTCAAATAAGTACAGAATACAGCTCTAGGCATTTAATCATAATGAAATAAAGCAAAAAGTTTAAAATGTCCTACAAAACATGCCAAGGCTGCCGATACAGACAGGGAGTGCGCCCCACGTGTCCAGGGTGTCTGTCCTGGTCTCGGCCTTGCACACTCCTGGCCACCCAGCGAAGCAAGGGCAGCAGGCCCGTGTTCCCCCTGAACCCAGCGGCAGGCGGCCCAGCTTCGCGTTAGGACCCAAGGGCTGCTGGAACCAACAGTCACTCCCGAACCCAGAATCAAGGTGCTGTAAGGCTGGTTCATTTTGGAGGCTGAGGGAGCCCTGGCGGTGTGGTGGTTGTAGCAGCCTTAGCAATCCTGAGCTGGAGGAGGAGCCCCAAGCCCTGCTTTGTGTCGTGGCCGTCCCATCGTGCGCACGCCCATGCCCCGCATAGCCAGTTCTAAGGCCACTACTGTCCCCGGCCGGAGTTCAGTCTCAGGCGTCACCATCTCCTAGAAACAGCACCTGATGCTTGCAGGAGAGGAGGGCTTAACTCGACCTGGCCGGCACATCCGAGCACAGCTCAGCCACAGGATCAGGACACGGATACAGATGAGGCCAGTACGCCCTGTCCCGACTTTCCCAAACAAGCTGTGTTGTTTACAGGAGTGTGACAAAAAATAAAGCGTTTACCTGCCCTGAGCAAAAAGGGATAAAACACGACATACCTTTCCTAAGCACGCAACAGAAGCTCAAACCCCTCGTTTCCAAAGGCAGTGACTGCAGTTTCACACAGTGCACACGAGAGGGCACCACTAAATCGTCCCCACTGCAAGGAGCTACGGGGGCCAGAAGGACCAGCACTGCGGCGATGGTCAGGGCCGGCATGAGCTCTGGATGTGGGAGTGGACTGACCATGCTTTCTCTCATTGTTGGCAAGCAACAAAAACACTCCAGAGGAAGCTGTAATTCCTCAAATTAGAATATCCTAAAAACCAGCTCAGTAAACCTCTATAGCAAACCCCTGCAAACACGGACAGCGGGTGAGTTTTAATGGCTTCGATCCCTGTGCCGAGGCTGCCTTGCCCACCCTGCTCGCTCGCCCAGCAACACTGGCTGTCTTGTCCATGGCCAGTGTATAGTGTGAGGAAATTGACACGGATGTTTCCCGGCAAGCACTGCCTTCCTTCTCAGACACCGGGGCCCCCTCTGCCCTCGGCCCCTGCAGGCTGCTGGCCAGTGCTCGTGGACAGGGGCCCAGTTCTTCCTTGGCGGTCCGGACAGGATCTCCCTGGAGAAAGGCGCTGCGCGGAGTAAATGAGCAAGGTCGCTGGGGAGGCCGCCAGGTCACCGGGCCAGCTCTACATTGTTCAGCCCACCAGCTTCCCAGGGCTCCTGTCCAAGTGAGCCGGAAAGAGCTGCTGGGAGAACCGCCGCGAAAGTGCAGAATTATCCCACTCCTCCTCCACAAACACAGGCATGAATGATCAACATCCTGTACAGGAAGACAAAGCCAGGAGAGCCGCTAAGAATCCCCTCGAGGGAAGAAGCCCGGAGACCTGCAGCAGGAAATAAGCTGAGAGTAAAGTCACAGTCCCCACAACCCCCGGAAGAACCTCCAAGTACTTCACAGTAGAGATTCTTTTAAATCCTGTTCTTTAGAAAAAAAAATTCATAATTTTTATATTGTGGAAGCAATGATGTTTGTGGTAACCAAACAACAGAAATAAAGGGAAATTCAATAATCTTCCTCTAAAATCTACCATCTACACATTAAAGAAATTTGTTACATTTTGATTTTTGTAGACAGCATCCTTGTATTTCTGAGCTGTAACCCTTTTTCTCAGCCAGAGTTTGTAAGAGAATCAAGGAGGGCCGGTGACCTCATGTGGATAATTTAATTCACAGAACGAGTAGCTCCCTCACTAGGTTCCTTAAAATCAAAAAAACACTAAGTAGCAAAGGATCTGAGAGTATCACATGACTCTCCCACTCAACACAGCTACTGTCCCGTAGAAGCTGTGTCTGTGGAGGCTGTAACTCCTGAAGCCTGGGGTGCCTGAGTCGTTCGCAGGGGTTTTAGGAAAGCTCTGCACACCCCCACCCCACCAGGGCCTCTGCTGTTTCACGTGGCCCTCAGGTGACGCTAAGCAGATGGCAAGCTCAGGCCCTGAGAGCTACTGAAATGGCTCCGCATCTGTCTCTCACTGGCCTGCATTTAGTGTAAGCTCAGAGGGACTGTCCCCACCACAGCCACAAAACTGCACCTCTGCCCTCCCGTCCTAGACACCTGGGCCAAAACCAGAGTGTGGTTCTCAGACAAGGGCACCACTCAGGACCTTGTCAGAGATGCAGATGCTCAAGCCCCACTCCGGACCCCCTGGATCAGGAGTTCAGGGCACCGGGAGGACAGCCCTGTTTGGGTTGTTTGGGTGGTGGGGCAGGGTGGGGGTGAACGCGGGCCTGGTGCGCCGAGGACATTCACGCTGTACCAAGCTAAGCTCGGCGCAGTGCTCGGAGCTTTACTAAGCCGCTCTCGGGATTCCGCCACAGCTGAGTCTACAAACCACTGAGTTAGAGAATTCCACAATTTCAAGACCAAGTAATGAAGACAGACAACTCCATGTAAGGTAGAACCGAGTTTATTAATGACTGCCTTTATCACAATCACTCTCAAGTGTAAAAAATAAAAAGTGATTAATTAAAATTTAAAACTCACTTGGACGCGCTGTTTGGCCTACACTGGATGTGTTGAACGTGGGGACCCTGCCTGATTCTGAATCAACTGGTCAGATGAAGTTCACTGGAGAAGGAGGTGCTAAAAAGACAAAGTGCCACCTGGAGAGCTTGGTCTTCTCCACGCTGGAAGGACATCCCAAGATGCCCGCTGTGCTGTGGGCAGGAGTCAGTAAGACCCTCTTACACCCAGAATACGAAATGAGCATTTCTACCTACACAGAGACGAGCACACACATGCAGTCACACACCCCGGCCGTGGAGACGAGACGCAGCGCTTCCGTCCTTTCTCTGAACAGACTGATGCGCTCGCTCATCAGCCACCCAGATCAATCTGCTCAATTCCCACCCAGTTCGCAAGCTGGCTGCCGGTTACGGCTGGCAAATGCGGCACCGGTGTGAAATACAGTGGTTTTCTCAGTGTTCCACAGACTGACATCTGCCGCACAGGAGGACACCAGTGGACACCAGCTGGATTAAAATCTCGGGCGTGAAACAGGCCCTTCCAGAAGTGGGGCAGGGCCCGCAGCACCTGGCGTGGCTCCCCACCTCTGGTCACAGAACACCCGCCAACTCCACACCTCTCCAGAGGGCTTGTGCTTTGTTCCCCACCCCAGGGGCTACCTCACAACACAGGAACTCTGGCCAGACATTTTTTAAAAAATCAAATTAAATCTTTAAGAAGAAAACATATTAGAAGAATCTGATTATGTCAATACTATATTGGAGTTGGGTTTAATTCCATTCAAAGAGACAGAAGGGGAAGGTTTGGAAGAGGTCACCGAGCTTGACCCAGGAAGAGATGGCAGAGCCAGGCTCACCCCGGCCGGGCTTGGACAACAGCCACATCCCCTGAGCCTGTGACCCCAGGAGACAAATGCTTGCCCTCACTTTGAATGTCTTTAGAAAGACGGCAGGAAACGGAGATGGCAGATTCAGATTTACAGGACATGCAAGTTAAACATACACCAAAAAAAAAAAAAAAAAAAAAAAAATTAAGCCCAGTGGAAAAAAACACTTGCAAAATTTAAGAGGGACCATATCATACCCTTTACCTGTGGGAAACAAAAACAAACAAAAAACCCACAAACATGACAAAACAACACAATCCAGAGTATTCCAAAGAATCCACCACTAGCTGGGTAGGTTAGGGGTAGAGGAGTATTTAATTCACACCTCTCATTAACCTCATTTTCTCCTTGGATTTCAATGATAAATAAAGCTCAGGCCTACTCCGAGAAAAGATCAGTCCTGCTGGAACAGGTGTTGCAAAGTCTCCGACATGCTGCTTGGTAGACACAGAACACACAACTTCTCGAAGGCCGTGCTCCGGGACAGCAGACCCACCCAGGTCAGTGGGTCTACAGGACGGCAGGGTCTGGACCCACAGGCAGGCTGAGAATGCAGCAGTTTCTTGCAGTGGACAGAAGGATGCCCAACACCACTGCCCGACCAGGGGCTGACCCCTGAGGCCTTGCAGGAGTGACCAGCAAGCCTGGCCCTCCCTGCCCTCCAGTCACCAAGGGGTGGACAGAACCAGATTCTGCACAAATTTAAGTCAAGGTGGGCCCCACCTTCCCTTCTTTTCCTTGTTGGCAGGCATCTGTCCACCCGTAAACTCATGGCTACAGTAGAGATTCACGGCACAATAGCTTTCATACTGGATTTAAAACAAATTCTGTCAGCGAGCAGCATTTCCCAGTTTTACCCCCCAAAACAAGCTTTTGGCAGCTCCGCTAGGTGGGCACAGGATGCCTCGGTGACAGGTCCTTGAGGCCTGGGTGTCACCGCAGGGCTGGGCCAGTCTCATGTCTTGCAGGGGCTGCACAGGGTCTACCAGCTGGCCCGGACAGCTTCGATGTCACTAACCAAGTTCTGGGCCAGGCATATCCCAAAAATCTGAGAAAGGAAAAAAAAGCAAGTCACACAGTGAAGTTCTTAACCCAGGGCTCTTCCTTGGCCACTGTACCCCACTGTTCTGTAATTTGATGTTTTAAAACCGATGTACAGTTCATACACAGTAAGATGCAGCCTTTTAACATGACTCTGAGGGTTTCAGTCTTCCACAAAGCTCTGCACTGATCACATCTATCAAGTGCAGAACATTTCCACCACCGCCAAAGAAACCCTGCGCCACAACAGACATTTCTACTCCCGCCTGGCCCAGGTCCTCATCTATTTCATCTGCAGGGTTTGCGCATCTGGACGCTGCGCACCAGCACGCTCACATAATATGGAGCTAGTGCCTTTTTCTATAGTGCAAATCTCTCAAGGTTCGCTCACATGTACTGAAGGGTCACTCTTTCTTTGGATTTCTTTTTGCTATACTGGGGATTGAACCCAAGGTGTAAGCTGCCCAGGCTGGGACTTAGCTGTGTGATTCTCCTGTCTTAGCCTTCAAAGTACTGGGATTACAAGCGTGTGCTGCAACATCTAGCCCCAGATTTCTTTATTTGAAGGAGTAGAGCAGAAATTCAGGAATTTCGGTGACCGTTCTGGAATAACCTGTAGAAAAGGTAAGGCGAGCCCCACAGGCAATAGGTGTGCCTGCGGGGGTGACCAGGGGAGTCCCGGCAGCTGGGGGAGGCAGCTCGAGGCGCACTGTCCTCATCGCTGCCCCAGCCAGGTGCCCCTGACTCTGCCGGGACGGGCTCAGGCTCCACCGGCACTCGGCACCCGGGTGTGTTCCTCCTCCGATGGATGTGACTGTCACGGTGGCAGTGAGTCTTGCTGAAGTCGCACATGGGTCATTTCTGCCAGTGGCTGGCGGGTGCCAGCCCAGGGTGACAGATCCGTGCTCCTTTCCCAGTGGGACCTGCAGCCCTGCATCCAGCGGTGCTCACGGCTGCTCTCTGGCATCTGTGTCCTGCGGGCCGAGTCCGAGCTGCCCACTGCACATGCCCTCAGGACCTCGCAGAACCTCAGGTGTGGACAGACAGACACAGGGGCACTGAGCTCCAGGGCGAGTGGGGGCTGAGGTGGCCACCAAGTCCCTGTCATGTGAGGCGGTGGGGGCGGCTGAGAGAGGGGCGGTGGGAAGCACGTCAGGTGCTCTGAGGTGGCGAGGACCCGAGTGGGAGATGACTCATGTTCTCTCTATGCACTGCGGACGCAGAAAGTCATCCTGACTCTTGAAAGGAATGGTGGCCAGCCTGGTCCTTTTTTGACAGCTGAATAATATTCCATCTTATGTATAACCTCACATTTTGTTTATCAGTTAATGGATATTTATATTGTTTCCATTTTTTTGCTATTATGAGTAATGCTAATGTGAACATCTGTGCACAAGTTTTTCTTTGCGATTACATTTTTCAATCCTTTCAGGTATGTTCCTAGAACTGCTGGGTCTCGTATCTCTACACTTGATTTTCGAGGAACTGCCAAAAACTCTGTTCACATAGGCTGCATCACTTTCACTCCCCTGGTAACGTGAGGACACCAGTTTGTCCACGTCCTCAACAGTGTCTCTTACTGTCTGTCTTTCTTATTGCAGCCTAGTTGGGATGGAATGACACTGTCGCCTCAATCTGCATTTAAGTCACCAACAATGCTGGCATCTCTTCTTATGCATATTGGCCATTTTGATTTTCCTGAAGGAAGTGTGTGCTGAGATCCTTTTGTCCATTTTAAAATTGAATTTGCCTCTTTATGTTGGGTTGTGAACAGTTTTGTGGGTTATCTTTTCATTTCCTTGAGAGTATCATTTTTAGCACATAAATTTTACTTTTGACAAAACCCCATCTCCCTACATTCTCTTCAGTTGTTTGTGCCTTGGCTGTCAGACCTAGGAAACACTGTGAACGCCAGATCACAATGATTTACACCTATGCTACCCTATGTTTTCTTGTAGGATTTCACAGTTTTAAATCTTATACTTAGGTCTTTTCAAGATTGGGTCTCACTATGTTGCCCAGACCGGCCTCAAACTTGTACACTCAAGTGACGCACTCAAGTAACTGGGAGTACAGGCATTCCCATCACGCCTGTCTATACGTATACCTTTCATCGATTTTATGTTAACATTAATACATGAAATAAGGTAAGGCCTAACTTGATTAGTTCTGCAGGTGAATAGCCCATATTTCCGCATTACTTGATAAAGAAACTATTTCCCCTATGAACAGTTTTGGTTCCCTTGTCAGAAACCCACTGACCACAGGACGGAGACCATTTCTGGACTTCGGTCCACGGTGGCTGAGCTCGCTGAAGCACACAGCACCTTCGCTGCCGCAGCCTTGTCGTAAGCTATGAACAGGGAAGCAGCAATTCTCCAACTTTGTTCTTTTTCAAGTTTGTTGTGACAATTCTGGGTCCCTTGCATTTCTATATAAATTTTGGGGTAGCTTGTCCATGACTGATAAACAGGCCATGCAACTGTGCGGGGTGCGTCTGTGAACATGGGACGCCTTTCCACTTGTTTCGATCTCCTCTATGCCCATCTGTGATCCTCCAAGGAAAGTGTCGTATCAGCAACACGAAGAGCCCAGCCAGTGAGTCGCCCAGAAGGACATGCTACTCCCAGCCTTGCTCTGTAGCCAGCTGGTCCAGGGAGACACAGGGCGCAGCGCCTCAGACACTCCCGCAGCCTCAGCCCCCGCCCGGGGCTCAACGCTGGCCACCAGAGCCGCCCCAGGTAGCACCATGCAGCGTGGGGGAGCCTACAGAAATGACAGGATGGCCGCAGGCAACCACAGACCCAATCAGTTCTCTACCTTGAAAAGGAAAATGGTGTCCTAAAATATTTCAGGGTCTAATAAGACCTTTAATGAGGCACAAACCAAACACTTTAGTCTGTTCCCCAGCCCAGTCCTCCCACGTGTCTTAAAGCAGGGACAACTGGGTGAGTTAGGAAGCTTCTGCCCCACAAGGGCTCCCTGGGCTCCGCTCCCTGCGCTTGCCCTCAGTGTGCCCGTCTTACCTGCAGCAGTGCGATGCCTATGAAGATGCCAGCCACAATGGTTAAATTGTCCTGCAGCCACTTCTCAAACTGAGGCACACAGCCCTTCGTGTAGATTACAATCTGCTGGTCAACTTCCTTCAAAGGGAAGAGGACAGCAGAGGTCACAGATACGGCCTGTGATGTGCAGAGTTTCTGCTCACACCCTGCGTGCTAAGAGTCCACTTACTGGTTTCTGCCTGGCGTCATAGCCACACTGAGTGTTGATGACATCTTCCTGGGGAAGAAACAAAAGGGACAGTGAGCCTCATCCCGGGAAACAGGACGCCCAGCTGGGAACGCGTCCAAGACCCACCGGGTGGCATCCGTGTGCTGGGCATCGGGTCCCGGGCCGTGGCTCTGTGCTGAAAACTTCATACTGTCATCCGCATCACACTTTCTTTCTACATTTTACTTTTCATTAGTACCAGTCTGCGACACATGACGACTCCAGTACATTCCTCACGGGGAGCTGGCACATGTACACAGTACATCTCAGTTCCTTTCTTCAACCCTTCCCCCTGCTTCTCCCAGCCCCTTCCCACTACTTCTCATTATCCAGCCTTTATTTTGCTCTTTACCTATATTCTGGCTTTCTCATGTAAGAGCAACCACGAGACACTTAAACGTATTACTGTGACAATCTTCACAAGCGGGTATGATATGGGTCCTGTTTCACACAGGAGGCAAATGAAGGCTCAGGGAACAGCAGAAAGAGCGGCAAGTTCTGTTAGGAAAAAAGGAAGCTCAAGACTCAAAGCGCTGCAACTTCAAGAAGCTCACAGGGTTAGGGAAATGCAGATGCGAATAAACACCGAACTTAAAGGGCACAGTGACCACCTTCATCTACTCTCTTTTGGGGGACCCCCGACTTCCCTTTTTTCTTTAATAACACTGGGGATCAAGCCCAGGAGCTTGTACTTGCCAAGCGTACACTCACACTTTTTACTCTATCAGTTGCTGTATTAAATTGTTTTTCAATGGGAATACATTATTCTAATAATTGAAAAACACAGCCTGCCCTGCACATAGGTCCCATGGGCACTCTGACACCTCTCAGCTCTGACCAGAAGCACAGGTTCTGCTGTGAGACTTACTCTCACCCCTCCTGGGGGGATAAAGCGGGTCTTACCTGTGCTCAAGTCTGAACAATAAGGCCCTCCCAGAGCATCTGTGCTGAAAGGGGAGCCGGAGCCTCCTAGGCCTCTCTGAACTCCCTGGCAGGCTGCGGGTAGGCAGGGGCTGCAGAGGGGAGGCACTGTGCCGCATCTGCTGGCGGTGACGGCGCCCCTGGTAGGCACCTCAGACTTGGGGGCTGTTGTGGGGCCAGCTGGCTCCTTTGGAGGAAGACGCCAGTGGGAAGAAGTGGGTCCTCGTGACTCTCGGCCTGCTCAGCCCCGCAGCCTGTAGAAGGTCTGCTGCCCCCAGCACTGCGGCCCTGGCCCGCACCCATTTGGCTCTGCTTCCTAAGGGAGAGGGCAGGCCTGAGGGACACCCCCGGGGACTGAGGGGCACAGAAAAGCTGAAGAGCTCCTGGGGCGAGGGCAGCAGCGCCTCTCACCGTGCCCTGTGAGTCTGGCTTCTCACTTGCAAGATGGAGCTGCATCACACCTGGTATAGGGTCTGACCTATCTACAACTACACCTGTGGTGAAGGGATCTGACCTGTCTTCTTTGTAAGAATAAAACAGGAGCTGGGGCTTTAGCTCAGTGGCAGAGCGCCTGCCTGGCAAGAGTGAGGTCCTGAGTTTGATTCCCAGTACCCGCCCCCAAAAGAACAAAACATAAATAGCAGTTGCTGTAGTAAGTAGGACACCCAAGGCTGGGCAACAGTGGTCTGGCTAAGCAGAAGTCTGGCCCAGTCCTGTTGTAAATGCTCCTCCTGCTCCTCTTGTTTCCCCGGAACTTACGCAGAAGAAAAGTGTTACAGGTCCCAACTGTGCACACCCTGCATCCTCACGAGAGCCCACCTTCCTCAGGAAGGTTAACAAGAGTCAGAGCGGGATGCTGGGCTGGCACTTGCTCTGACCCTGCTACGCGCACGAGCTTGGCCGAGGCCCTCGCACGCCCTGTGCCTTGGTTTCTTCTCTAACGGGGCGGGATGACATGGTGGCTGCTAGGACAACCCCTGAACTTGAATGAGGAGCCAGTGCACAGAAGGCTTAGAGCAGCAACCAAGAATGTTCTGCTACATCAACACCTGCGATTACTGCTCCTCCGGGTAGATCAGCACGCTGTACCCACTGGGGAGCTACAATTAGGCACAAGCAGGTAAGCAGTGGTTTCATGGGGAACCCTCTGCCCTCTGCACACGAGCAGTACACGCCTGTGCTTACCGCCGGGTCTTTAGTACAGCAGGAGAACGGCACACCGCATCGCTCTCGGCTTGCGTTGGAATCTGTGCAATTGAAGTAAATATTTAGGTTCCAATCATCAGCTCCAAAAGCCCCACAGCACTGCCACTAGAGCAAACAGGAGAGAATTAGAACATCTCCGCTCGGAGCGGCCGGCACCTACGCTCACCCCACGCCCCAGCACAGCTCCAGCCCGCCAGCTCCCGCGTTCTCTTCTGTTTCAGAATCACTTTTAAACCACTTTAAAACCCCGTAAAGTGCTTCCGAAGTACGGCTGAAGGTTCATAAAGGTTTGTCAGCAAGGGATTTAAACAACCGATGAGCCCGTGGTATACGGGGGGGCACTGCTCTGCCAGGGCCCGGTTAGAACAAGATCAGTTCGGCTCCCATTCATTCTACAAGGATAAGTAAGAAATTCTGACGTGCATGTACAAGATACAGCAACAGTGGCAGTGTCTAAAGAAGCCAGCTGAGGCTGTGGTGGGGTTAGGGTTTTGATCTCCATGGTTTAGTGTTTTTTAAAAACCCATTTTATTGAGGTGTAACTGACCAAGAGTAGCCTGCACATTTTAAAAGTGTGTACTCTGGTAAGTTCTGACATACATCCACTGTGAGGCCATTTCCACAGTCAAGACCCCAGACATTCAGGCTGGGTGTGGGTCAGCACTGCAGCGCTTGCCCAGCGTGAACAAGGCCCTGGTCCGACTCCCAGTGCCACAAAAGCAAACAAGAGACAGAGAATACAGTATACCCTTGGCCTCGGGCTTACTTTTCATTGCATTTTGTTTCCACCTTGAACTATTAAAAACAAAAACATGTGTTTACATTTTCACCTTTAAAAAGTCAATTATCTGATTAAAAATAGTCAAATAAGCTGTTAAATTCAGTGGTCACAGTGGGGCCTGAGTCCAGGGTTGCTCCATAAGCCCTTTCCTCACCCCCTGAGCTCAACTGTCTTCAGTTGAGTTAAATAAATATCAAGTCTTGATGACTGTAAGCCACACAGGACCAATCACTACTTCCAAGTATTAAACTCCATGCTAGACAAACAGAACCGTGTGAAACAACAGTGTTCTGGAACAGAGCAGACAGCATTTCAGAATACATGGACGCATGTCCTTGAGACTCATCCAGTGCTCCGGAGTCGACAGTGTGACTGGACATCTGCCTCCTAAGATCTGTCACGCAGACCGGTGCAGGAAACCCCAGGAGGTGCACGCTTACGTCCAGGAGACCTAGGCTCACACTCCCGCCCTTGGTGCAGCTCGCCCCTGGCAGCTGCCGCCACACCAAATACCATCAGCAAGCACACTCCATGCTGGGGCGAGTGGGGAAGGGAGTCCTCCCTTTGTCCGAGGCAGGCCCAGCGCGCCTGGAGAACTGTGCAGTCCACAAACCTCAGGCCTAATACAGAGCTATGCACACGTCATGAGCACATCATGACTGCCCCCCCGTTAGACAGGACCTGTTACTTCCATTTTACTATGAGGTTCTGCAGGCCCAAGGTCTCTGGCCCTCAATTTGACCGTTTTGATTGGGAGTGAAATGGGCTCTGTTGCTCCCTCTGCACGAAGGAGCCACCACACAGCCAGGTTCAGACGGCTGAGGCGGGGCAGGGCCGGGTTAGAAGCCACTGAGCCAAGGCGCTTCTACCCTTATGCTTTCAGCTGCATTTGCTATAGGGCAAATAGGCATCTTTTAGGAACCTGCTGGACAACTATCATACCAAGTATGTCAGTATGACCTGCAAAGTATGGGAGGTTACAAAAAAAGGAAACAAGGAACCAAAAAAATTCATATTTAATAACCAAATAAAACTTTATGCCTACTGCAAAACAACTATCTTCAAAGGTGGATAGGCAAGGACAATATGATTAGAACCTTTTTGCTCAAGAGTTGTCCTTTTTGTTCCTCTAACTGAACAGAAATTTAAACAAGTAAAAACAGAACATTTCCATTTAGGATACAAATCCTGTAAGTCATAAAGCAAATGAGAAAATAACAAACAAAAAGCCATGCAGAAAAGTCAGAGGTAGTTTCCAGCTTGCAGAGATGCAGAGCCAGAAGAGTATTATAGAAGTCATCCTTTTGAGAAGATTGTCAACTTGAAAATAAACCAAATTTACACTTACATATTCCTGGGTGAAGTCTATGAGGTTTTGTAAATCAATGTCATCCCTGTACGCTCTGATGTTGTTGTTTATAAAGAAATACAGCTGGTCTTTGATCCAGTCTTTGAAAACAAATGCCAAAACCCCAGCAGTGAGCTCCAGGAAGAAAATAATTCCCAGGAACACAGAAAACTAAGACAAAAGACACATACACAGAGAGCAGTTATAAGGGCTGTTTTGATCACATGTAGTTAAATGGTTCCCCTCTGAAAAGGCTTGTAATTACTTTCGATTGTTACACATCTCCAAAGTAGATAATCTTCAGTTTCTCAAGATTTGTTAATAGAATATTACATTCCAAGAAAGGATTTTAAAAATTAAAAATCACTTCATAATCACATTGTAGAGTCTCTAGTGTTTCATTTGATAATTAACCAACAAAGCTCATAAGTAAACATGAAGGACAGGAATTTCTCATTAGACCCACATTAGGCCTAATGAATTTCTTGTGATTAATACACTGCCAGACATTTCAACAATGACCTGTCCCTGCTTTAGTAAGCCTTCTCCTAACTTGAAAGATAGATTACCCAATATTTTACGATCGCCTGTCATTTGTTACTGTGGCCTTGATTCTGTGTGCAATGTATCCTTTTTATGGATTAAACACCATTTTAATTCTCCCTTGCACTGCACTGCTGTGTAGTGTAAAATAAAAGATTTCTTCATCTTGCATGGAGAGGTCAAAGAGATGTGTGTGTGGGCGGGGGGGGGGGGGGGGGGGGGGGGGGGGGGGGGGGCTGGCTGTGACACCAAAATAATTTCCAATCAGTGAAGCAAAGCCAAACCGGGTTAAAGGTGTTCCTGGGATGCCAGCTGCGCATGCCTTCCTCCTCAGAACACCAAGCTCGGGAAACATTTCAAATAACATCAACATTCAGCCAAAGGGAGACGTCTGGCTAAGAAAGATAACAAAAGTTTGAGGCCAGCGCCTGGAAGCACTGTGGCAATGGCTCACAGCTCTGAGGACTTTTTCCTTCCACCCTGAAGCCTGGGCGGCCAGGTCTTAGTCACGCTCACTTTCACTCCCCCCTTCACTCCCGCTGATCCCGCTGACGATTCCTCCCACTCCCACACCCGGACCCTTCTCCAGCTCCACAGACTGGGTTATGAGAACTGGGCTGGGCAGGCCCGAGGAACAGGCAGACACGCTTCTGCTGACGACAGCGGGGTCGCACCGCTGGGCAGAGGCCGCAGAGCAGCAGAGGCTGAGGAGAGGGGACTCTGCGGAGAGGAAGAGCCTGTCCGCATCAGAGGTGCAGAAGGGTGCCGCACCCTCCTCACGGCAGGGCAGAATGCTTGTCTTGACCACTCGCTGGGATCGGGGCCTCAAAGTCTGGAGCCCCAGGGCTGAGGCCCCAATTCCAGAACCCCCAGCTTAGCTCTTTTGAGCTCCTCATTATCTGTCCTCATTGAGCTCACTGGAAATGAGATTTAAACAGTTCTTCATTGTTATTCAGTGCTACTGACAATTTCAAATTAAGTTTTACTCAACAGAGAAAGAGACCAGAAAACATATCACATCACTTTTGATCAACGCCCTCTCCTAGTATGAAACAATCTCGTCCTTTCCTGGGGACCACCCTAGCCATGCAAATAAAGCCAGCAATTACACCACAGCATGACAAGGTCACAGCCAGTGTGCACCTGTGCACGCACAAGACGCAAGGCAGGAGCTCAGAAGGTTCTTATGGAGATACTTGTTCTCACCTCCGTAAATGTCAGAGTTCACCTTCCATGTTCTCATGTACTTAATACACATATCAAATCCTGACATCAGATTCAATCCGTATCAAATGTTTGCAGGAGCCTGCACACCTCAGGCCCTGTGAGTGAACTCTCTCATTTTCAAAGGTACAGAAGCTGACTCACAGGTCTCCAACCAGGGAGCTCCGCTTCTGTTTCAGGGTCTCAGCGCCTGTATCTTCCCACTGCACCTCTCCAGTCTGGTGGTATCAGACCTCCGAGAGGCTGTCCAGAGACGTGACATTCACTTTTCTCTCACAGCCCCCAAAATATTCTAGTTCAGTTTTTATATAGAAAGAGGCCATTTAAAGTATTCTCAAAGACTTAAAAAAGCCAAGAAACAACACAGTTCATTTCTAACAGTGAATTTTATTAAGGGACTGCTATTGTAAGTGTAACTACATTCAAGTGAATCATATTAAAAGGAATCCCACATTCTGGGGCACAGAAGCTACACCTGCAGGTAACTAAAACAGGGCCCAATCAAGCTACTGAGCAGCTGAGTAAGGTGAACTCAGCATTTAGAGAAGCCTCGTGCCATGAAACCGGTGGGCTGCAGGCTGTGTGGTCAGGATAAAGTGCTCCTGGGTTCCACAGGTTGTTAACCAGGTGAAAGATGGTGTGTGTATAGGGAAAAGGACCATTTAGCAGACAAGCCAGACAGTCTTGGGAAAGCATCCACTCCCAGTGCAGTCTCACATACACAGAACCAAGAACTGCTGCTCACTACGTTGTGCCTAAGACCAACCACAAGCACCCTCGATTTCCCTGCTAGCACATGCCATGTGAACATCTAGAATAACAGCCCCCATGACCCTTGTGGCCAGAGCCGCCCAAATTCAAAATGGAGTACCCAGGGCAGGCACGGTGAGTGCCGTCTTCTTAGGGATCTTCAAGGAAAGATGTCAGCGAGGATAATGGGGAGAAGAATCACACACTGAACTGTTGGGACTAGTTGTAAAATACATTCTGGTTTTAAACTGGGCATGGTGGTCCACACGTAATCCCAGCACTCAGGAGGCTGAGGCAGGAGGAACTTTGTGAGTTCAAAACCAGCCTGGGCTACAAAGTGAGTTGAAGGCCAGCCTGAACTGTATAGTGACACTGTCTCAAAAAGACAAAAACAAACAAACAAACAAAAAAAACCAAAACCCCCCCAAAACTGTTCTGGTTTTAAATGAAAATGACCCTAGGTCAGTGATGGTGAACCTTGTAGAGACAAGTATCTGAACTGCAACCCCGAACTACAACCCAAAACCCACTTACTTATTGCAAAGTGCCAACACTGTAATTAAACCTGAATTGTTTAGAAAGAACAATGCATACATTAACAGCTTTTGTCTTAAAAGAAAAACAACACATGTGCCATAGGTTCGCCACCACTGCCCTAGATGGTATTGTATCAATAAAGGTTGAAAGTGATTCTAGTAATAGGCAATGTTATAGAAAAACTTCCCTGGAAATTCCTAACCATCTTCCCTCACCACTGGAGGATGGGTCCTTTTGATCCTTTCTCTTCTTGAAGAGGGCAGTGGACACTTCATACACAGGACCACAGGGCCAAGTTCCACACTGATGGGCACATTCAGCCAGCTCTTAACTATAGTTACTCATCCTACTAATGTAGCATATGCCACACATTCCTGCTTTTTATTCTCTGCTTTTACTTTTAATACTTATGTACCCCTTGTAAAATCCCTCCTCTACATATGCAAGTGGCACCTCGGTTCATGAACCTGATTCTTTCCATGATTCTGGTCACAAACTGAGTTGGGTGAGAAGTGAATCAAATTCAATGGTCAAGTTCAATGTTGATTTATGAGGAAAACTGTCCAACTCAGTTTGCAACTAGAATTGTTGCAAAATTGGGTTTGTGAACTGAGACACCACTGTATTCTTGCTAACAGCATTATTCATAGCAAACAAAGATTCTGTAAAGGGGGGCTGGGGATTTAGCTCAGTGGCACAGCGCCTGCCTGGCAAGCACAAGGTCATGAGTTCAATTCCTGGTACCGGAAGAAAAACCGAAAAAAAAAAAAAAAAAAAAGATTCTGTAAAGGATCTAAATATCATGTCAGTCATATGAAGAACTTTGTACTGGCCAAGGACAACAGAGATTCACTTTTTTTGTTTTGTTTTCTTTTGTTGAGACAGGGTCTCCCTTTGTAATTCAGGGTGGCTTTGAACTCACTAATGTAGCCCAGGCTGGCCTCAGACTCACACTGATCCTCCTGTCAGCCTCCTGAGTGGTGGGATTACAGGTATGCAGTACCACGCCTGGCAAGATTCACTTTTACTGTTCTCCATATTTACTAAAACCTACTGCTTACAGGTTTAAGCTAGACAAGTGTGAGTCACTGCGCTCATGCACGGGCTTTCCAGACGACTACCTGCACAGCTTTGTATTTCCTACGTGTGTAAGAGGGAGGAAATCACGAGGAGGAGAAGCCTCCGGGAATGACACGGGCTGGGGAGACTGCTATGCCGAAGGAGGTATATCCACAGTGGACAGCCTCCTATGAGGTAAATAGGGCCAAGCCTAGGGCTATGCTTTGGTAGGGGCTTGGGTACAGCTTACTGTCTCACTTCCTGATATAAGGGCCTGGACAGTAACTCGAGAGCATCGTGTGATACTTACAAACTTGAGGAGGAAGGTGTTCTCCCGCAGTGCTCCAATGCACCCTGCAAACCCCAAGATGAACATCACGCCTCCAACCACGAGGAAGAGCCACACTGGGTCAAAGCCACCAAGGTCAGTGATCGAGGAGATGTTGGATAGAACGCCCTGGAACAGAAAAGAACACACCGACACCAGAGCATGAGAGTTGTGTGCCCACAAGTTTGCCTTTTGCCTTCTCCCAAAGAAAAGAAAACTTCAGAGGTCATCTGCTTATCAGGCATGACTGCCAGACAGTGTTTAAGAGACACTGTGAAGAAAAAAGGAGGAAAAGCAGACAAGGGCAGGGCAGGCAAAGAAAGGAGAGAAAAGGCAAAGAGAAAAGGAGGAAGGAAGGAAGGAGAGAGAAAAAGAACAAGGAAGAGGAAAAGGAAATGTAACCACTGATTTCTTTCCAAGACCTACTATACTTATATTTTTGGCAAAATTATACAAAGTAAAAAAGACCCCACCAGCCCTTATACAGAGAAAACATGTACGTTACCTTTGCTTCTATGTCCTCAAATACAAATGATGTTGACTAAAAATTGGGTGTGAGAAAAACACCCCACAACACCCTCAAAACAAGGATGTTCTTTCAGGGTGAACCCTTGTTCCCCAGGCCTGCAGACAGAAAGCATCCCCAAGTTCTCTAAGGAGAGACTTGTACCTCAGGACCCCCTGAGCTCCAGAGCAGACCCCAGAAGATGAAGATCCCCAAAGCCCACCTATATGATTTGTGCTGATGGATGTTCTACCTTCAATTCTCAGGAGTATTTCCTAACAACTAAAAAAAAAAAAAAAAGAAAAACCAGTCCTATTATCCCACCCCAGCCACCAAAGCAACCCAGAGTAATTTCATTTCTCCATCAGCAGTGCCACTGCTTCCTGAACCCCTTCCTCCCTTCACTGTGAAACCACATCCAATACCCAGAACCTGTTAGAAAGGAGACATCTTCCCTCCAAAATGTAATGTGTACACTTACTATCAATTCATAGAGACCAAACTAAGGCTTACGTACCCAGTATTATCAGTATTTTATTTTGTGATTACATTTGTTTTGAACTCCCAAATCAGAACACCTCCAGAGCATCATGGTGTAGTTTGCTGTAAAGTCTTAATATTAAATATTTTTTTCAAGGCCCTCCCAACAACTTGGAAGACTAGGAGCTATTCATGTGGCTTTATACTTGAGGAAAATGGAACCCAGAGCAGATTGGGGACGAGCTGCAGGTCACAGATGGGCTGTTCTGGAACCAGAACAGAATGTGTGCTTCAGTCCTCCTTCCTGCCAAGCTGGGGGCCCTGGACTTGTTCTGCAGTGCTCCAGCTGATGCTAAGTTTAGGAGTTTCAAGCTTCAATCCACTTTAATGTTGCTGAAACATCTGGAGCATTTTGTTAGGCTTTCCGTTTGCTTTTTAGGGGCACAGCAACAACAGCAGCAACACACTGGTAACAGAACACACACGAGGGGAAAGGGCTCCAAAAGGCACAGGTCCATGGACTGAGAGGTCGCCCACGCAAGGCAGACGGAGGGTGTGCTTGCCCCTATCCACTGACACCACGGAAGGCGGCCATGCCTGCATGGGACCGTGCCGACCAAGGGTTTGGTCCAGTTTCGTTTCCAAATGCTAAACTAGGAATGCTCACTGCTGGAGGGCAAGGGTGATATAAGGAGACCAATCCTCATGTGCACAGCACAGATGACATGGAAGAAACTTGCCCGAGAAGTCAGACCAAAGGGTGTGAAGGGCCCCATGTTACAAGAAAAGCAACCTTTCCTCTCACCAGCATTCAAGTTTTAGACCTGTTCAGCTATTGGAGAAAGGGCTTTGGGGGTAATAATACTCTTAAAATTCAAAAACCACGCAGGCAGGCATGGTGGCACACACCAATAATCCCAGCACTTGGGAGGTAGAAGGATCACTGCGAGTTCGAGACCAACCTGGGCTACAAAGTGAGCTCAAGGCCAGCCTGAACTGCACAGCGAGACCCTGTCTCAAAAAAGTCTAAAAAAAAAAAAAAAAAAAAATCAAAAACTAACTTACTTATGGGAGAAACAGGAGACCTCATTTACTTGGTAGAAGTAAATCAGAAGCAGGAGGCAGCAGAGGTGGAAGCCCCAGAGAAAGGTGAGTCCCGTTTCTAACACCGCCAGGTCTCCAGCAGCAGCGAGAGAGGCTGCCATGGAGACACAGGCTTCCTCTGACCAGCCGCTGACTTGTGCCCTCCCAGCTGGGTTCTTCGCAAGATTCCCAAAGTGGCTGGGGAGCTGGGACTTAATGAGCTTCAGGCTCCTTCCAAGTGAAGACTATTCTACAATTTCACCCATTTTTATTTCATAGTGTTTTATTTCTGACTCATACTCAAGTGTGAGCAAAGGGCAGGCTGTTCCCAGCCTTCAGGACCCACGGCTGTGCACGGAGGGCTCAGCCTGGGTACAACAGGAGGAGCCCTCTGGGGAGCTCTGCAAAGCAAGTGAAGCAAACGAGCAAACATATATGCTTGTGTCTGAAATATCGAGACAAAATTCATCTCGGCAAAAATTAGGATCCCAACTCTCACTAGAATCCTAGATCATTCATCCTTTCTGAGTTTAACTGAGTAAGAATCTGGCTTCTCAAACTCATTTTAGTACTTACTCTCCTGCAGGGGCAGTTTTAATTGAGAGGAGCTTCAATGGTTTCTATGGAAACGACAATCATTTGGGGGCCTCGCTGGACTGCAGAGTCTACTCATTTATTTCTAAATTCAAGCAAAAGACAGGGCAGGAGACAGATACTACAAAGAACTTGGGGAGGGGTAATATTCTGTAAAGCATGGGAAAGACCATCAAGAACTTTATTTTTAATGGATCCACGATATAATCAGGTAGTTACCAACTGTAAACTAATTGAAATTTTTTTTGGGGGGGGTCTGGGTAGAAAGAATGTATCTTTTGTTTTATTAAAATTTCTTAATTGATAAAGTTACATGTACTTACCCTGCACAATATGTGTTGAAGTTATGTACACTGTGGAATGTCTAAATGTAGCTAATTAATACTTATTACCTCAAATAGTTATGTATTTTATGGTGAGAACACATTACATCCAATCTCAGCATTTTTTAAGAATTCATACATTACTGCTAGGTAGGCCAGCACACACCTGTAATCCCATTTACACATTTCTTGGGAGGCTGAGTCAGGAATTCGAGCCTAGCCTGGGCAACTTCATGAAACCCTGTCTCAAAATTTTTAAAAAAGGGACCGGGAATGAAGTCAGCACCCCATGGGTTCAATCCCCAGTACCAAGGGAAACAAACAGAACCAAAACCCTCATAACTAACAATATATTATTAACTACAGTCACAAATTCAAATCTTGAGGCACAACCGTGCAAAAGTTGATGCCAATGCGCGGTTCCTTCCCCTTGGGATTGGGCTTCTCACCAAGACAGAGAAGGAGACAAGACAGACTCATCTATGCAACACAGCTTTATGTTTCCAAGAGCAGGACGGCTCTACAGAACCAAACAGAACCCTGGCAATGACTGGGTTACAAACACGACATTTCAAACAGTCTCTCACTAGACTTTCTAATGCTGTGCAGCTCAGTCTGACAAACGAGGCAGAAGTCTAGCATAAGCTTGCTGAAGAATAATTATAATTAACGCTTATTGCTGACAAGAACCTGGAAGAAAAAAATCTACAATTAGTTAAGCCTGCTAGTGATCTGAAACGTGCTCAGATGGAGCCAACGCCTCAGGCAGGTAACTCCTCAGGCAGACACGGCTCCTGCTGGGTCACTGCCCGCCTCCGTCTGCGGCTTCCTCCTGCTTCACCGCAAGCCATGCCCCTCCTAGTGCCGCTCTTCCCATGAGCCCCGCTCCTCCCCTCCTCCCTGGGATGACTGGACAAGGGACTGGCAGCTAACTCCAGTAGCTGAGACTGTAGAACGCCAATGACAGAAACTGGACAAAGTCAGTCCGCAGAGAGAAAGCCAGGGCTTGGGGAGACAAAGCCTGGGAGTGAGGGGAGATCCCAACAGCACCCCAAGTCCCAGCCCAGCTGCCTCAGCCTGTCCCAGAGCACTGCTCCTCATCACAGGGTCTGGGAGCCATCTCTGGGCTGCTGCAGTGAGCCCCCCACCAGGTCCTCAGAGAACAGCAGCACTGAAAGCACCGCTGTAAGTGCAGAGGGTGGGCAGAGGTCAGTGCTGGCTTTACAGGGGTCACTCACACCACCCGGGTTAACAGAGCGGTTAATCCTGTGTGAACCGTCTTCAGCTGACTCCCTACCAACGATGAGTGGTTCTGCTGGAACCTCTGGTGCTCTGTTTGTGTTATAATAGCACACAGCAAGCTTTCAGCCCCAGTCCTCAGCTGTGAAACACCAACTTTTAGAACTGCAACTTATTTGAAAACAAAACTAAACAAAATGTCCTCTAGTCAGCCTTTTCTCTACCCAGAGCGGCTGACGTCAAAAGGGGGCACACAGCGCTGTCCTGGGGGTGCGCCGCAAGTTCTTAGTTTTGTTTGATCTGAATCCTGTAGGAGGCAAAGCTCTGGGGTCTAAAGATGTCCAGGGTACTGGTCTAGGTAGTTCACGCTGGAAAACCATGTCTTAAGGAGCTGACTGTTCAGCAGAACGAGGATAGACAGGTAAGAGGCAGAGCCATTAGCCAACGCATTTTTTTAATCATTGTTTTGGGATCTGAACAGTAGTAACAGAGATGAGGGAAAAAGTAACATAAGAAAAACATATTCAAAAAGTCCAAATTTAGAAAACAAGAGGAATTATTAAACATATATTTTAATAATACACTGTTAAGACTATATCTTTAAGAGCTGATATATAGGTGTTTGCCCTGATTTAAAAACTACACAATGTATATATGTCTCAAAATATATTGCACACTATCATATTGTACTGTATCTATAAGAGCTGATACAAAGGAACATATTCTCAAGCATCCTTTATACCCATGCTGGATGGCCCTGCATCATTGCTCCTAGGACCCTGGGTCCTTTCTCCTGCCTCTCAGCTCACGGCTGCTGTAACAGGGAACAGGGGCAGAAACAAATTGCCCATAACATAAAGCACTGCTCTAAAGACAAACGAATAGCAGTCAATTTGAAAGAAACA